CAGTCTAACCCCAATTTTGAGTGTTTAAGGTAACACTCAGTGCTCAGAGAACCTACCAGGATAACACCAGGCACCAGAGGAAACCTCCCATGTCCAGACATGAACGGCCAAGTGCACGAGGCAACTACAGGCACTGTCCAGATGGGAAGGGCAGAAAACATTTTTCCTAATAAAGCCTGATAGGATGTCTGAAAAGAGCTTTAGCCCTTTGTTAAGCTCCAGAAGCCAGGCAAGAAAGTTCCAGGAATGTGAGTCATCCCACAGGATGGGTCACAGTAGACATTCAGGATGTGCACTTTTAAAGAGGTGAAGGTGCAGCGTGTGTACAGACGAGCAGTGCAGAAGGGCCAAGTTATCCCCCAGGGGAACACACACATTGTCATTGATTATGGAATGCTTCCTACATCCTTTGGAATACCTACGAGCTCTCAAAGTGCTCTGAAAGCAAGGGGAACTGGAAGGAGCAGGGCGAAGAAAAGGAGCTGATTACACAGTAGCCAAATTTCACCACCTTCACACTTCCAAAAAGCAGACACAGATGTACAAGTAAAAACACTGACTTTGGAGATGTGATGTATAAAAAACTCCACATGTTGGACTTCCAGAGCCTCCAAAATATGTAAACGCACCTCAGGTTTGTTTCTGTAAACAAACTGCTCCAAAAAGCCCTCGGAATTCCAGCAGTATGGAAATGAAGTCCTTACCACCAGGATGCTGTTCCCCTTCTGGCCATTACAGAGGCAGGGGAAGGGCAAGGAGGATTCTCCCTGAATTCTGCACTAAAAAACCCTGCAGCTGCCTTGCCAAAAGGAACTCCTTGGGGGTGTTTTTCTATTTTTTTTTCCTGAGAGCATCTGCGTTCAAATAATACCTTCTTAGCAGCGAGGTGATAGTTCCTCCTTTAAAACAATTTTCATCAACAGTATAGAAGTAACTTATGTCATCTATTTCGTTTAGAACCCTTTTTCCAACTGTGCCTGCAATTTCACAACTGCAGGTCACCTCCTCTCCGTGGAGCAGCTCAGAAATCCTGTATAATTAATGTTTTAGCTGTGATTACGGTTTGTTATTGTTAAAATACTGAGGGCATTAACAGTAACTTGACAAGTAATTCTTCAGGCCAAGAGGTGCGGAAGAAGAAGACTGTCATGGAAAACTTGAAGCCTTATTTAAAAAAAAAAGAGGCGAGAAGATGTAAAAAGCTTTACTATGGCAACAACATGGGTCATCCAGAGCTTGGAAGTCGTTGGCAGCGCTGCGGCCCCACGGCGCTGTGGCCACCCTCCATCTCCACTTCCCGTCATCTGATGTGGATGCGAGACAAACCTGCAGCTCCCCCATTTCCTTTTCCTCCTCTCTTCCTCCTGGCACCCCGAGCGCTATTCAGACGCAGGCAAGGCTTCCTCTGAACAATGCTGTCCCAAGGACCCCGCGCAGGGACCGGGCCACATGCTAAACCTATTATTGCGAGGAATTCTGCCCCACTGGGATCTGCCGGCGGGGGGCTGCGACAGCAGCTTGTGCACACATTGTTTTCTAGGTGAGACTCATCGAGATGGGATCCTCGACAAGCAGCACGGCAGCTGAGGAAGTTCAACACCCGCCACTTCATACCCGTGGAGAATGAATGGGCATTGAAAGGCTACGGGAAACCAGATCATGTGAGCCAGAGAGCTGAAAATGAAATCTCTGCCTGGCCAAAGCGCTGGGAAGTCTCAGGCAGCTTTAGGAACAGGAATGGGCAGAGGAGGCAATTCTAGTGTAGCTGGGGCACAAATGGTGGTGGTGACACCAAACCACGAGGAACCACCTGCTGCCATCCTCACGCAGACCCCATGGCACGGATCTCACAGAGCGCCTGGAGGCACCATCCTGTGCCTCCAGCAGCTGTGAGGACCCCTGGTGCCAGCTGTCCTCCTTCCAGCTGCTGAGAACACACCAGGAGACTCCCAACAGCACCTGCTCCCACAGGCAAAGTTTTAAGGGTGCTGGATAAAAGAAGTCACCCACAACCACCACCAGCAGGGAGGAATGCCCAGCTGAAGAGCCACCACAGCCCAGAGCCCAGGGCATGTCAGCACCCCCAGCTGAGTCACAGTCACTCGGTGTGTGCAATAACCTCCCAAAAGCATCAGCTCCCAGGCTGTAATTTGTGGGCAGCCCTACATTTATAAATGCTGTTCCTGCAGCTTGTGCTCCAATGTGTACATTACCTATTAACTCCCCAGCACTTGACTGCAGCTCTAGTTTGCTCTTTAAATGGAAGTCTTGGATTGATTCAAGACTTTCTGATCTCATTTCTGCTCGAGAGTGTCACAACCACTTATTAACTCTGCCAACGACTCAATCAACCTTACTCTGTCTTAAACAAATCCAACATAGAAATAACAAAGGCAGCTCTTTAAAAAACAGATAAAAGCATCAAATGCAGAAACATTTCATTTTCAGCAGTTTGACTTAGCATATGAGTAGCAACCTCAACAGGAATAATTCAGAGGAACAACTAGAGCTAGAGATGTAAGCATGAGAGAATAAGGGTCAAGATGATTTATAGAAATTTACTAACCACATATTTTCTTTACACTGACATTGTGCTAAAAGGAGCTTCCTCTTCTTTTATTCACAAGGAAATGGTGATACAACATCGTTTGCAGGAGACGAGAGCCATTTTAAAGCAAAACAAAAAGCAATACACAGAATTATAAAGCCTGAAATAAGCAGCAAGCACTGTCACTCATCACTGGGCAAACTTTAAACATTTAGGAGCATGGAAGCACTCTAGATTTGAGAGCCCTGGAGAAACCACCAAAATCACTTCATCCAAGTGATGAAAACAGTAAATTTTGCCACATAAACTTATTATGTATTTGCCCACGACTGAAAGGAACAACCTACACTGAAAGGGTCTTTAACAGCACTGAGGATCACCCTGGGCAGTGAAGGATGCAATGCACTGGCACCCTCCACTCCTGCCCTCAGCCTAACCCTGAGGACCCAGCAAACAACACGCAAGAATTCCTGTATCTAATTTCACGTGGTCAGTGAATGTGGACAAACCACAGCGGCAGAGCTGTGGGACAGAAGTGGTAATTAATGCAGAAACCTCCCGAAGCTGAATGGCTGAAATCACAATGCATTAATGATTCCATTTAGAGGCTATTAGGGAGCCGCTCTGCTCAGATGAACCACACTCAGAATAAACCCCAGCACCTGCACACACACAAAAAGAACCAGGAAGAAAAAGTATTCCACAACAGGCATACACAATAGTTAATCAAGAATGCTTGTTTGTTGTGAGTGTGTAAAGCCCAAATTGTTTTGGTTTGCTTTCCTTTTTATACAACCTAGAGATTTCACAGCACCCTATCCAAATATTGGACAGCACATCATATTCCCTTGACAATTTAGCTGTTCCACTGTTATGCTTGCACAGGAGATGATTATCCATAGCCTGGAGAAAACATGAAATGCTCACACACACGTTTGATTCATGCATTTACCCCCCTCAGCAGCCACTCCCACCTCCTCACCATCCACTGCTGCTGCAGTCGCTCTCCGCTGCTGAACTCACACCCAGCAAACCCCCGAAGCAGAGCTGCTGTTTGACACAGACGCCTGCTGCCAGGTCTGCCCTGCCCACCTTCATCTCCCCACAGACCCCAGCCGCTCTGGGCACAATTCCCAGGGCTGTGCCTTGCTTTACCATTGTTTGCAGCACTGTCACCCTGCAACTCTCCAGTTATTCCAGACTTCTGAGATATTCCCAGAAAGTCTCCAGACATTCTACACTTCCCAGATATTCCCAGAAAGTCTCCAGACATTCTACACTTCCCAGATATTCCCAGAAAGTCTCCAGACATTCTACATCTCCCTTTGTTTGGAGAGCAGGGCTGTTTTCAGCCCCTGGGCTCCCAGCTCGAGGGGTGCTTCGGGGAGTGCTGTTTGCAGGAGTTCAGGACGTGCCTCTGAGCCCCTCGGTGCGGGGAGGACACCGCACACACAGCCACAGCCAGGCCCCAGCAGCAAGGCAGGCGCTGTGCTCCTCACAGTGCAGATCTGGAGTGGCAACGCTGGCTGCGGGCAGGGGCAGGAACCGGGAGCAGGAACCGGGAGCAGCAGCCGCCGCCTGTGCCGCCCGCCAGGCACCCAACGCCGGGAGAGCCGCCGGCCCCAGGCCGGGCAGAGCTCGGGCCGGCTCCGGGCGCTGCGGGCCCGGGGAGGGCGGTGCGGCACCGCCCGGAGCGCTCGGCGCCGCTGCGGGAACATGGCCCCGTCCGGGGCGGCGCCGCTGCGGGGCGGTGCCGGGGGTTCCGCGCTCACTCACTCGGTGATCTTGGGGTCCAGGTTGCCGATCCAGAGGCGGTGCCCGTCCTGCAGCGCGCCCTCGGACAGGATGGAGGCGTTCTCCAGCGGCAGCGCCTGCCGGCCCGGCTCCATGGCCGCGGGGCTGCCGGCCCGGCCGCTCCGTGCCGGGGCCGCTCGGTGCCCGCGCAGGCCTCGCCCCGCCCCGGCGCCGCTCTGTGACGCCGCTGGCCCGGCCGATGACGCTCTCCGGGACCGCGCTGCGGTGAGCGAGGCGGCGGTGCCGCCCTCCCCCGCCTTCCCTCCCCTCCCCTTCGCCGCCGCCGGGCTCCGATCCCGGCCCCCGGTGCCCGATCGCCGGCCCCGATGCGCGGCCCTCGGCGCGGCTTTCCGCGGCCAGCGGGGCCGGCGGGGCCGGGGGGACCGGAGCGGCGGCGGGGCCTGTGCGCACCCGCGCGGGACCGGGACCGGGATCGGGACCCGAGATCGGGATCGGGACCGACATCGGGATCGGGACCGGGACGGGGATAGAGACCGGGATCAGGACCGGGATCGAGACCGGGACCGGGGAGCAGGGCACGGGCATGTCCCGGCGCAGGGGAGGCCGCTTGCCCCGGTGGCCGCCGGCGGCAGCTCCCCGCTCCCCGCTTCCCGCTCCCCGCTGCCCGCGTCCCCCTGAGCGCAGCAGATCCGCAGCTGCCGAAAGTCCCCGGAGCCGCGAGCGGGCCGGGCTGGCATAAACCCCGTCAATGTTGGGGTGTCGAGCTCCCGAGGCAGAAAGTTTCGGCCCCGCTGATGTGCGGTACCGGGGCGAGCCGCTCCTGCTCAGCAGCCCTGGGTTGGTGTCACGGGCACATCTGGGCAGATGTGCAGAGGCCGGACAGATGTGCAGAAGCCGTGCTGACGCCGCGGGCACGGGCTGGCAGCCACCGAGCTCTTCCCATGGCATTTTCCCGGTGGTCACGGCAGATCCCCAGGGCTGCTGCCCACACCACGGAGCTGCCCCCTTGTCCCCAGAGCTGCCACTAAGCCCTGAACCCGTTTGGGTTGAGCCCAGCTGCCTTTCTCTCCTGCAGGTGGGTCAGAGAGGAGCTGTGAGCGATGGCTCTGGCGCTGCGGTGCCTCCGTCCTCTCCCGGCCCTGCTGCTCCGTTCCTCCTTTGCCATGGCCAGGGGGCTGCCCCGGGCTCCCGGAGCCTGCCCGGCCCCGCTCCTGGAGGGCTGCAGGCAGTGTGTCCAGCAGATGCTGCTGAGCAGACAGCTGGCTACCAAAAAAGGTAAAAATGGCAGCTTTTCTCACGGTTTTGCAACCTCTCTTTTAATATTTATACGCATTTTTATATATTTATTTATTTTGGTTGATGTGCTCTAGTGGTGAGCTCTTTACTCATTAAAAATACAGTTTTTACAGTTTGGTTTTACTTCAGTTTATCTTAGACTTGATTCTAAATTTGACCAGGACCTTAATATCTCCTTTCTATTTTCTAACTAACTTGTCAGAAATAGAAACTAATTTTTTTGTGTAATCTGCAGCTAAAGGTAAAGGGCAGAGTCAAGCCAAAGTGAATATCAGTGCTGCCCTAGTTGAGGATATTATCAATTTGGAGGAAACCAATGAAGACATGCAGGCAGTCATAGAAGCTCTGAAAGAAGATTTCAGCAGAAATCTCAGTGTTAGAACCTCACCAGGTTGGTAACTTCCTTGTGTAATGCTCTGTAGCCAGTAAATAAAGATACAAATCCTAGTAATGGACAACTCAGATTTGTTCAAAATCAATTTTCTTTTTCTGGAGCTATCCACTGGGCATCCAAATCTGACAACCCCGACATCCCAGCTAGAGGCTTTCTTCACCCTGAGCTTGACCAGGAAGGATCCATTTTTGTTAATAGCTTCCTGGAAATAGCTTTTTTAAGTGGGAGATGTCAAAAGTGTCTAACTGAACTGTTTGCAGATGTGATGAAGAAGCAGGTTGTCAGCTAATGGTGCAGTAGGGCAGGAAAAATCCAATTGCCATTAAATTATCCTTTTGGAAATTGCCATTGGGCTGGTGTCTGGCATATGCAAACTTTTTTCTGCTGTGCATCTTTGTGGGTAGGAAGCTGTACAAGCCTCATTGATGGATTCTGTGTTTTAGGAAGAAATGTGAATGTGTTTGCCTAATCTGCAGTTACTATAACACTCTGAACATAGGCCTTGGTAAGCGTATCAAGTTTCAGGGATAAAATTTAACATTAAACAATGACCAAATTTGGATCATTCACCACCCCAGCTCTGGCAGGGGCACTTCTGTCTTTAATGGAGCTCAGTCTCTTAACTATTTATTTTAACCATAGGTATTTTTTTTAATTGCACTGATAAAGTACCTCCTGTCCCATGTGCCTTTTGGCCTGTTAACATTGCAGCAGAAAATAGAGAGCAGCTCAGGGAGATTAAGAGTAGCTCAGGGAGAAACTGAATACTTTAAATTAGGCAGTGTACAACACCCCTCTGGGGATCTGGAAAAAATATAGGGGTTTAAGACAACGCTGCTAAGTTAAAGACAATATTTGTCTTGATATTTATAGCAACATTCTGATTTTCTTTAAGTTGTAAGAATTAAAAAATAACCATTTCCATTTAATTCTTAACAATCCTACTTAGTTTTCCTATTCTAGTAGCAAAAACAAACAGGAGTTTTGTTTTCATGTTTTTGTGCTTTAGAGCAGCTTTGAAATATTTTACTTGTGAATACACAGGGGATGCCTGAACACAAACAGCACCTGAAGTCTGAATAAACACTGTATTTTCCTTTGTAACCTCTGCATTTTGCATGGCAGAAGGGAAGTGGGACAGTGTGGACATGTTTTTCTTCAGCATCACTGCACAGTGTTTTGTCACACTGAAGCTCCCTGTGTTTGGTTCTTTTGAGGGGCCCTGGATCACATAACTGTGATGACAAAAGATGGGAAGTTTCCGCTGAACCAGCTGGGGCAGATCTCGCAGAAGTCACCGCAGCTCATGATAGTGAACATGACCAGTTTTCCTGAGGTGAGGACACTTTGGGAGGGGAGATAATTGCCACGGGAACAAACAGGTTGATGCTGAAGAAACGAGCTTTTAGACAAAATCAGTCAAACGTGGCAGGGCTGCAGCCTGGGGCTGGGCTGTGTCACTTTGAGCTGACACAGAACAGAAGGGGCATTTTGCTGCTGACAGCAGCTCCCCAGCCCCACGTGGCTCCCAGAGCAGCTCACCTGCAGCACACAGGGTCAGAGGAGAGTTACTGAGTGCTGTGGTTTCTCTCAGGGTTGTATCCAAGGAGTGCCACAGTTACAGGGGTTTGCTCTGCAGGCGCTTTCCCTCAGTTGGATCTGTAAAACCACACAAAGCACCATGGACCAGATGTCTGGATTCACTGTGCCCTTCCAGCCCTCCCCGTTTCCCATGCATTTAGGTGAAGTCTGAGCACACACACGCTCACCTGGACTGCACACATGGCTGCAATGCTGGATCAGCCCTGCAGTATTCATTTCAGTTCCTTGTCAAGACATGGCCACGCACAGAACCAGACGTGTAGTTGGAATTTGTGTTGGGGACTTCATCAGACGCCTCTGAAACTTGCTTATGTATTACCAGGGCTGGTGATATCTCTGAGAGTTCATGAGAGAAGCTGTGATGGAGCCTGTGTCCTTCTGAACAGCTTCCCTGGTGGGACTGAGCTGGCTCGTGCTGAGCACTGTCACAGAGCTTGACTCGGGCACTGCTGTGCTTGGCCAGCTCCTCCCTTGACCTTCTCCAGGTCAGAACCTGAATTAAGGGCTCTGGTTTATCTTCTGTGAGAGACAAGTTCTTTTAATTTCCTGCAGGAGCCTTAGACCTGCCCCTGAATGGAGCAGCAAATCCAAATCCCAGCTCAGATCAAGCCCTGGTGGTGCCCTGCAGCAGGTCCCAGCGACAGGGCAGCAGGAGCGAGTGCAAGGTTAACAATTCTTCCTGCTCCAGGGCTGGAGCTGTGCCAGAGCTTATCTCTATTTATTTTGCAAAGGCTTTCCCCAATTAATTAAGTCAGCAAAGTCTCAGAGGAGGTCAGTGCAAGGCACTTGATGCCTAAGTGTTTCTTAGAGTGTATCCCATGTGTGTAAAGGCTCTGAAGAATGGAGGCCCCTCATCAGCGAGGTCCCGCGGAGTGTCGGCGCTGAGAGGGCCAGGGAAGTCCCTCCATGGCTTATCCCGTGTCCAGGCAGGAGCTCAGGCTGAGAAATGGCATGTGAGAAATTAAATATCCTCTAGATAGCATTGTCTACATTTGCTTTCTGTGCTAAAGGACCACTTGAACCATTTCTCTCCCTACAGTTGCTTTTTATACCCATACCTGTTTTGTGATAGATTGAACTAAAACCGTTAGAGACAGATCACTTGATGTCATTATTTACATCATACAGTCAGTAGTTTATGACACTGAGAAGCAAATAAAATTGCTGAAGAGTCTGAGAAATAAAATAATCATAAAAAAGGACTTGCAGAGCCGAAGTCTGTCTTCCCAAGAGTTATAAAACTAAACAACACTAGGTTTTTAAATACAGTTATTTTTTTCACAGGCTACAAGAGGATGGAGGCAATATTGCAATATTTTCCCTTCTCTCATTCTCCCTTTCCTCTTCTTCTATCTCCTCCAGTATCTATGTTAAACAACACAGTTTTTACTGAGTATTTCTTTCTTGCAGAACAGGGGCTGTCCGTGGAATAACACATTGACATTCCTGAAGTGCTGAGATCATTTTGGTTGCATTTTCTCTGCCCTTGTAGTTTCAGGGGACAACGGTTGTCTCTTTCAGAACACCGGCAGAGCATTCATTTCATTCAGTGATGTCACACATGAGGGACCTGAACAAATCTGCAGAGCCTTAGTTTGTGCCTCAGTTGGCAAAAGCTGAGTTTTAAAAATACAGTCTGAGCTACATAAGTACTGCAGCAGCCTGGAGCTAAAGTTAATGATGGCAAAGAGTATCAGAAATAGCATTGTGCCTGGTAGGAAGTGTGAGAGTCTAGAATGAAATGACCTAGCAGAGCCCTGTGGGTGTTCTTGGCCAAGCTCTGCTTTAACCCCAAAGCCTGGCACTCTGTAGAGGTGCACTCACACCTTGTGCAGGGGTGAAGCCTTGTAATCACCTTGCAGTCACCAAGCAAACCTGCCACCCCACCTTCCAAGCGCAGCAGAGTGCCAGCCAGCAGCAAGGGAGTTTTGAGAAGTTAATCCTCAGTAATAAGCTGTAAAATACAGAGCTGGGCACAAGCACTGGTTCCCAACCGTCTGCTACGGCCCTTCTGTCCTGTGGTCAGGTTGTAGTAAGTGGTTAAGCTCATTAGGGTTTCAGAATTGGCACTGGGTGATTTCTAGGGGAATACATTCAACTGGAATTTTTAAATGCTCAGAATCTTTCGTCTCCTTTGCCACAGTCAGGCCCTGCCTGGGGAATTTATTGCGGTTTCACTCTGCGTTGCCTCAAACCATTCAAATAGTTTCAAAGAAGCAAAACAGTTTTCTTTTGTTGTTGCTTCGCTTCCCCTCTCCTCCCTCCGTGCCCCCTACCCCAATACGAGCGGCCGTAGTTTCCCATTCGGGTTGATCAAAGCTCTCTGCACCAATGTAACTTCCTGATCTCACTGGTAACAGAAGTAAATGTTTCCATGTTCCATGGAGATGGATTGCCAACTATTGACAGAGTTCTGGCATATGGGAATGATTATTTCCTAATTCCCTTTACCTTTTGATCTGTTTTACAGAGCACAGCTGCAGCTGCAAAGGCTATAAGGGAGAGTGGCATGAACCTGAACCCCGAGGTGGACGGCACGGTGATTCGGGTGCCAGTTCCCAAGTGAGTATCGGTGCCTGAGCTTGTCATCATGCAGGATAACACAGAATGCTGCAGTGAGTGCCCTTCAGAGGGTAAACATGTATGATTGCTGTATATCCCCATGCAGCTGCTCTCCAAAGAGCTGTAGTTCAGCTTTGGGAAAAAATCTGCGCCTTTAGAAGTGTCTTGTGAAACCTCTTGGGAGTGTCTGAGCTCTGTCACCACATCTTGGCATCTGATGATTGGTCTTACTTTTCATCTTCTCTCTGCAGAGGAAACTTGGTCCTAGCTGGCTGCACCACTTTGAAAGAGAGAGCCAAAAGCTTTTGAAACTGTACTGCTTCAATTTGGGGGCTGATTCTTTTCCGCCCTGCTCTAAATTCCTGCAATTCCACCAGAGCAGCAGTGTTGAACCAGTGGGAGTAGGGGAGAGCAGCACCTTGCTGCAGAGAGCACTAAAAGGAACTAGTGAAAGTGAGAAGAAGGAAATTTATAGCTTTGACAAAAAAATCTGCTTACTCTTTTGTGTGATACACAGTGTGTAACTGGTGGCTGTATGGAAAATTTGGTATGGGGCTAGAAAAGCAGGTTGGCCCCAGGAAAGGGCTGAGCATCACTTCCCTTACCCAACACAAGTATCTCCCAGACCTTGGACAAGGCAGGAGGTGCTGCTGCTGTGTCCATGCTTCAGTTTGGATCAGGAGAAGTGATCCTGGCTCTGCCTGGGAATGAGGGTCCAGCAGATGGAATGAGAAACCTCCCAGCAGCTCCAGCCACTGACACACACAGAGCCTGTCACAGGGCTGGGTGGCACAAGGGAGATTCACGAGTTCCTGTGGGCGCTCAGACCTTATGGAGCATCTGAATGCCATGGGCAGGTGTGGCTGGGCATGGTTTCACACCTTGGTGAAGACAAACAGCTCCCACACAGGCCTTGCACAAACCCTTTGCACAGGCACTGCCTTGCACAAGCAGGTGACTTCTTGGTAGAGATGAACCAGGTATTTCTTGTGCTGTAAATCTCCTTTAAACATTCTGTGGAATTTTACCCAGCATTTTGATCAGAGAAGTCTAATTGCAGCTTTCCGTTGCTGTCGGTGAGAGGGAATGACATTATCATTCTATTTGCTGATTTTCCTTCCCTGTGCTCCCTGCCCTTCCCCCATTCCTCAGGAGAGGAGGCAGAGGAGGAGGAGGGCACCATTATCTTCGTAATTGCTGAGGCTCCCGGGTTGCTGCACAGTGGTTTGATTGTTAATGGGCACTTGGGTCATCCTTGAATACGAATTGCAGGGGAGGAAACTCCAAAACTGCAAATCCCGAGCTTTAACAAAATACTGTGTTTTTAAACAAATGTGTATGGTCCGTCACTATCTTCTGTGGTGCTGAGAGCTCAAACAAGGCTTCTCTTCACAGGGAAGCTCTGCCTCGTGTGCTCCTGTGTCAGGGTGGCAGCTCTTGGTCCTTCCCTGGCTGCTGGGGAGCCTGGAAGTCCCAGGTTAAAGGTTTTGGCTTGGGAGCTGTGCCCAGTGGTGGGTCTGCCCTCACTGACACTCCAGTCTCTTGTGCTCTCCAGCTCCATGTCTGGGGCTGTGCGAGTTTCAGTGTGAGACAAACAGTTCCAGCCTTTTAAAATCCCCTAATGAAAAAGACAGAGCAAAGACAATTATATCCCTCATTTACTTTTAAAAAAAATTTAGAAGTTTTGCATTATTTCTAGCAGTTAATGAAAGAATATATGACAGACAGATGCAGTGAAATTGCAGAATTACGTCAGGTTTGCAAAATAAACAACAAATCAGAAATGAAGAGACAATACTAATATTGGTTCTGCAGACTGTGTTTTTTTATGAAGGGAGGCACAGTAAAAATAAAACCAAATCCAAATTGTCCTTACCTGTTATTATAACCACTCTTCAGTCTGACCTATCAGCTGGACACACATGTGCCGTATTTTGCCTTGTGCAGGTCCAGCTGTGCTCCAGAATGTTTCAATGGAGCATTCAAAAACGGTGTTTGCTTTTCAGTATTTATTCTATCAATTTAGTTTTTGCAATGCAGTTTTAACAGAAAAAATACACTCGTGTCGTTGGTGTTTACTTCTGCTGCCTGCCTGCTCCCCAAGGCATTCTCCTGTTTGTGTGGCTAGCACTCCATAGGCAATATTTATTTGTATAAAAATTAGCCTCTGAGGGTTTAAAAATAAAAATTACCAAGAAAAAAATAAGAAAGAAAACTGTCCATGGGAACATTTGTATTGGTTGATCTCTTGGCCGAATTTGACCTGACCTTGTGTCTTTTATGGTATTGCCTCATTTTTAGATTCATCTTTTTTGGACCTATTGTGTTACGCTGGATATTGTTTGTAAATCAGTAATATTTTTACACATGCTTTACTGAAAGCCAGATGACTCATTTGAAAGTTTAATGACTCATTGTGAGCCTTTTTTTTCCCTTTGCCCTTTAAGAAATAAGCAAAGATACCTACTGTGAGGAGAAAGGACCAAAAAATTTCACTTGAAAACACCCCAAAGCTGTTCTGAGCTGCTCCTGCTCATCCTCAGGAGCCTCTCGCCTGAGTTTTATTGAGCAATAAATGTTGCACCCTGTGTTTATCTGCAATTATGAATGCAGAGTGTTTAGTTTAGCCTGCTTTCCTTTAACTGATCCCTGTCCTTCACAGGAAATTCCTGCTGCTGGAGGTACCGGAATCACTCTTACCAGAGAAATTTCTTGTGTTGAGCTGAGCTGGGTCATCCTCTCTGAGGGTCTGCTCTGCCACACCAGGGGTGGGACATCGAGGGCTGCAGGGCTGGGGGAGGCAGGAAAAGAGATATTCCTCAGAAAAAACGATGTGACCCCCCTCAACACGTCAGTCAGCAGGCTTTGCCCTGGGCCAGGCAGGACAAGGCTGTCCCTGGGGGAATGGCAGGGATTGACCCTGCTGCTCCATGGGCTGCAGGGGAGGGCAGCTGGGTGGGACCTTGTCCTCATTCCCCATCTGACCCCCTTTCCCCAAGTTCACACTTTGTTTTGGATTTAAGAGGGGGTAGGGACAATGGTTACTAGACAGAAAAGAAAACATAGCTAAGAACAGCTTAAAAGTCCCAGATCTCGGGGCAGGATTAAAACAACTGTCCTCAGAAACCTGGGGCCTGGCTCATGTTGATGGATTCCTTAACCAGAAACAGCATCTGCTTGGAAAAGTGTCTGTTTCTGGCATTATTGGTAGCATTGCTGAGAATTTACACACAGTCTGGCTGGAACATAAAACCCGCTGAGAAACTCCCCGGCGCTGCGCGGTGATAAAAAGAAATTGGTGTTAATAAAGACAGACAAGGAGGCATGAAAGCTGTGACCCCGTGCCAAGAAGCAGAGGAAATCTGGCAGTGCTGCATAAACAAAAACATTTCCTTCAAGGCTCAGCAGCCCTGGGCAGGCGAGCGATACCCTCGGCGCAGCCCAGAGCCGAGCAGCCCCGCTGCTGAGCTGCTCCCTCCCAGCCAGCAGGGATGGGAGAGATTCCCAGCTCCCTCCTGCAGGCTGAGCAGCCAGGATTGATGCCCTGCTTCCCCCCAAAATGCTGCCTGGGAACGTGACCTGTGCCTGTGAGCTGGCACTGGGGGTTCTGGGTGCACCAGGGCATCAATGTTGGGGTGCAGGGGAGCCACAGGGATCCCTGCTCCCTCCTGAGGGTGGTGGGGCCCTGCCCAGGTTCCCCAGGGAATGGGCACAGCCCCAGGGCTGCCAGAGCTCCAGGAGCACTTGGACAACACTCTGAGGCACTGGGTGGGATTTTGAGGTTGTCCTGTGCAGGGCCAGGAGCTGCACTCTTCCAGCTCAGGCTATTCTGAGATTCCACATGACATTCCCTGGCCCACTCCCTCCACAGGGAGGGACAGGCTGAGGTGCCCTGGGTGCCAGGCCTGGGGCGCTGCTCTCTGGCTCTGCCAGCTTTCCTGGCCATCCCAAATTCCTGTAAATACTAACTGCTTCTGGGAAAGCTCTTCCCTCTGGCACTGTGAAATGGGGATGGCTGCCAGAGATCTGGCTGTGGGGACGGGCTGAGGGTCCAGCTGTGCCCCCAGAGCCACCCAAAACCCACACCCACTGAGGGGCAGAGCCCAGGCACTCTCACCCCACATTTCCTGAGCTCTCTGTGGAAAGAGTCCTGGCCCCAGTGTTTTGGTGACCCAGGCTGCTGCAGCCAATTTCTAAATACTCCTGTGAAATGTTTATTTTGCAGTATCACCCACACGCATTCTCCTGCTAGTGAGACTCAGGGCGTGCACTGGGGTTTTTCCTTCTCCAAGAGCTATGAAAATAATTAAAATATTAATGTTAAGCATTAGCAATTGACAGTGGTCAGCTCTAGGTGCTGGAGCATGACCCAAGCTCAGGGGACACATCAGCCATTCCTGAGCCTTTTATCCCAGACCCCCTCATCACCAATTTTTAGTTTGGGATGGAAAGTTGAACATTTCTTTGTGACACCACAGCAGTAACTGGCCCCACATCAGGGGGGGTTTCACCAAAACTTCTCCTGGTCTGAGTTACCTGTGGTTTACCATGCTCAGCAGCATCCTCTTGTCAACCCAGGTGTTCATATCACCTTGGTGGGAAATCCTGGTCATGGTGAGCTGGAATAAGATTGAGTGAGAGATAAGCTCATTAGCTTCCAGGTACATAATTCAGGCTCTTCAGCTGCAGGGAGGCAAATCCGAGTTTCAGGAGCAGATATTTCCTCCTGGCTTTGCAGTTTTGTGCTTTTGGGGATGACACTTTTCACTTGATCTTTCAAGTCTGGAGCTGGATTTTTCCTCTTTCCCACACATGCTTTGGCAGCAGGAAGTAAGGAAAGTCTGAACATTTCAAGATGACTTTCAGGCACTGCAGCAAGAACTATAAAGCAAGATTCAGTCCAAGATCCCCAGCTTCGGGCTGAGCTGGAAATTTTCCATTCTAGGTTCAAGACTGCTTCCTTGGAATGCTGTGCAGAGCTGGCAGATTTTCTCAGGTGGACCAAAGCAGAGTAAAAACGTGTCCTGAGCTGTTCAGTCCCTCTGCCCCGAGACAGTGTCTCCACACAGAGCCAGCTCCATCTAAAACCAGCAGCTTTTGTGTGTCCCTGGGCAGGACAGCACCACTTGGAGAGGATCACTCATTTACCCAGAGTCCTTCACAGAAAATAAGTCTGGCTGTGCTACACATGACACTGCTTTTCCTTTTGGTGTTTTCCCCCTCCTCTCTCTGCCAGGGTCACGAGGGAGCACAGGGAGAGCCTGGCCAAGCTGGCCAAGCAGTTCACCAACAAGTCCAAAGAGGCCCTGAGAAAGGTGAGAAGCAAAAGCATCACCCAAGTAAAGAAGTCCAAGAACAAAGTGTCAGAAGATACCATCTGGCTGCTAGAAAAGCAGGTAATTTTTCTTTCCTTCTGCCACGTTTTGGTGTCCCACAGCTCAGTGGTTTGTCCCAGCCCTTGTTGACAAATCCTCAGCACTGAGAACCCAGCAGGGCAATGGACAGTTCTGGGCTGAATTTCTGGAACTGGCAATGACATTCTTATCTGCCTTTTCTTTGTGAGATTTGGGGCTTCAATCTCAAAGCCAGATTTAGAATCTGAGCCGTTGTGAGCTGACACAGGGAAAAAGAATTCCCCAAAAGCTTTTGGACTACGAGGGATTGTTGCACAAACCAGCAGAATTTAGGGAGCGAAACAATCCATGACCATGGCTGTACCACCACTCATGCCATGCCTGGCCACTGCAAATGTGTTAATGAGCATTGCTCCAGTTGTTATTAATGAAAAGGCTTGCAAGATTGTCTCTGTTCTGAGTTTTTGGCTCCAGTTCAGGAAAATACTTAAGCACATGCCTAATTCCTAAGAGCAGATGTCACTAAAGTCAATTACTTGGGCATAAACTCAGGCACAAGCCTAAGTGTTCTGCTGAATTGATGCCTCTGAAGGCAGGCCATTACTTCTTAGCTGTTTGTTTATTAACAGCTAAAGTTAGATACATTGCAAATGCTCTGGGACAGTTCTGTGTGTGCTCACAAAAATAAACATCGATATACAGAGTGTTTGTGCAAGCAGGAAAAATGGCCATGCCATTGTAACCAAATCCTGCAGGAAGCCTCTCTCCCAGAGCACACAGATGGTGTTCTGCACTGGTAGAGGTAACAGCTCCAGTGGAATTCCTTTCTTCTACCCAGATTTTTCATTATCAGCAAAGGTCATTGCCAGACCATGAAACCAGTGCAAAACACACGGTGTGTTCCAGCCTGTACCTGCCTGTTTTCATCCCTTTTGCAGACTGGCCATGTCCATCTCTTGTTACCAAGAGAGCTGATCCCTAGGCAGGGCTTGTGCAATCACCGTTTTATTTCTTTTTACAAGAACTAAACAGATTGTTATGTGATGTGTGAATTCCTGGTATGTGCACAGGACATCACCTGTGAGTCCCTGAAGTGCTGCCAGAGCTTACAGCCCCTCTTCCCTGCTGCCAGCACCAGCAGCTCTGGCTCTGCCCTGAGGCTCTCTGTTAAACCTGACCAAGCAGCTCAGACAGGAGTTGGTGTGGGCAGCTCTTTTCAGAGCCTTGGAGCAGTCCCTGCTCACAGCCCAGGTGCCAGGCGGGCACAGATTCCCTGAGGGCTGGTGGGAACCCCCAGGGAGAGCCACTTTCTGCCCCAGCACTACTGGGGCTCTGCTGACACTTCAAGCTTTGTTCCAAAGGGAGGTTTGGTCATTCCTTTCCCATTAAACTCTGATTTGTACTGTCTTGCCACAGATCCAGCAAATGGCAGATGAGGCTGCCACGGAGATGGACAAGCTGCTGGCAGCAAAGACCAAGGAGCTGCTTGGATAAACACCATCCCAAAGGCCACACTGCCCCTGGAGCTGCCACTGCCAGCACCCATCCCTGCCTGGGCCCAGCAGCCTTGGGGTGTGCTGCAGGGAGGGGAGAGCTCTCCTTGCTGTCCTTTATCCAGCTGGGAACAGAATTGGACAAAGTGAGATCAGAAATAAAATACCAGGAAGGAGAACTGGAAACTGCTGGAGGCACAGAGGAAGGACTGCCCTGCTCACTTTGTGCCCCATCTTTGCCCCACACCTTCAGCCCCCTGGAGCCAGGGCCACCCACGAGAGGAACCTGCCTGTCCTGCTGCAAACCTCAGCATTTATTTCTGCTTGAAATAAAGTCAAAATGAGGTGTGGAGCAGCAGCTTCACAACAGCCAGGTCCTGGTTGCTGTGTTCCCTTGGCTCACGTGTTCCAAAGCACGCATTTGCCCCGGCAGCAGGGTGGGAAGGGATGAGGGAGCTCAGCACAGCGTGGGCAGGGGCTCTGTGGGGAGAGAACTGAAACCAGTGCTGTCAGCACAGCTGCTTTAGCCAGGACTGAGACAACCTAAAGCCAACACGGGAACTTCCCAAAAGCAGCATCTGCCTCCCCAGCCATTACAAAATGCCCGTGAGTCTCTGGCACCTCAGCTGAGGGGCTGGAGGAGGTGCAAGCAGAGCAGGTCCTGAGCTCATGGCACAGCTCAGCCCCTCGCTGTGAGCAGGTACTTCCCGAGGGCAGGGGCAGGAAGGTGGTGCAGCCCCCAGCCCTGCTCCCAAGGCATTTGAGTTCAAAGAGCACCAAGTGCTCTGCACTCCTTAAATAAACAACTCCCCAAAAGTTAGTTTGTGTGCCGTGGGGAGGGGGAGGAGGATGAAGGATTTGCTCTGCTAGGGCCCCACATGTCAACAATTTCTCTGCTTTGTGTATTTTGGCCAAAGCCCTTACCATGATAAATGAATAAAGGAAGATGGCGAGCCCAGGGCGGTTCCACAGCTCGGGAAATTGCTTTCAGCCGATTACTGGATTTCTTTTGACATTTATCAACTGTTTTTTTTTTTTTTTTTTTTTGCCATTGTTGCAGCCTCAGCATCCCCACAGCAGCCTGAGCTGGAAGGGTTTCCCTGATACCTGCCCAGGAGCAGCAGCTGCTGGGCTGGGAGCTCCACAAAGCCAGGGCAGGTGGAGAACTGCTGCTGCTCATGGAGGCTTCTCCAGCCTCTCCCCATTCTCCAAGCCCTTGGGGTGGTGGCAGTGGGCTGGTGGAGGCAGACAGTGGAGCTACAGGGGGTCACGTACCTGAGAATTTCCCAAATATTTACCACTACACAAGGAGTAAAACCTGTGGTAAAACTATCCTGGTGCTGGACTGGGCACAGAGCTGCCTGGAAGGTTGGGGATCCCATTTACTGCATCCTCCTCTCACCCCTGTGCCCTGCATCAGCCAGGAGCAGCCACAGGGCCCACAGAAACTGCTCTCAGCCCTGGTACCGCCAAAGCAGGGCAGATGGGACATGAACCCGGGGAGCTGAGCCCCCACTGTCCATCCTGCTCCCTGTGGGACAAGCAGAAACAAAAGCACAGCCCCAGCACCTCCTAGTCACACAGAACCACAGCAGAACCACCCAGGAAAAGAGAGGATGGGCACTCACCACTGGCTGGCTCACAGGGTGGCCCTGGCGAGGTCCCACTTTCCCTTTGCAGCACAAATCACCTGCTGCTCCACATCAGGAGCTGCAGCACAAGGTCTGCCTGCTCCAAACACTCCTCCACTGGCACCAGCAGGAACCTCTCACTTGGTTCCAGCCTGGATTGCACCCAGAGCTGATAAGAAGCTGCAGCTGATGCTGTTGGCGGGTGGGAAAGGAGCTCCAGCTGTGCCAAAGAACCCAGGAGGGGAAGGGACGTGGGCCAGGAAGCGGCTGGGCTGCTTTAATGTGGGTCCCTGTCGGCGAGGCCACAGCAGCCACCAAATGCTTTGGCCTTGGCAGGACAGAGGGTGAGGGAGGGCTACGGCCGGACCCTCTGCTGTGTCCTGGGCTGTCCACACCCCGCTGCCCTCACAGGGACCCCTCTGCCAACAGCACCTGCCAGCCTGGGGCACCGGCAGGTTCCCACCTGGTGGGCACTGCTGTGGCCTGGAGGGGTGGGGGTCCCCTGGGGGTCCCATTGCCAACATCCCTGTGCCCATCCCTGCTCAGGACAGACCTGTGCCCGTCCCAGGCTGCCCAAAGGCACTCTTAGCTCCAGCAGGATGTCCCAGTGCTCCGAGCAGCGGGACAGCACCGGGGCAGGCAGCGGCTCCTGCCAGCTGTGGCACCCAGCCCGCGGCCCAGGGACACGCGAGACGGAGGCAAAGGGAAGGAAAAACTCCGAGGAAGCTGGAAGCTCTCGACATAGTTAAAAAACAACATTGCTCTTCAAAATAGATGTGATTGCGCTCCTTGTGAGTCATCGAGCAGAGACACCAAGATTGCTTTGTGCCAGGGACGAGCCGGGCGCTGATTGTGCCGCCCGGATTTGTATCCAACAGACCCTGGATGGCATGTCAGAGTTTACAGCGCGCATACATTTTCAACAGTGAGCTTTGCAAAATGTATCAATGTAATCTCTGCCTCCTATATTCCGTGTTGATTAGACACGATTTCTGGCTGGATTTTCAGAAAGCTCAAGTGCTTTTTTAATCACTACAGAAGCTCATTATTGCTTTCCAGTGACTCTTATGTCCTTCACTTCTCCTTTCAGATTAGAGTCTATAGTCAGATGAATATTGGATGATTTCATTACATACAAATGCAATCAACAGTTTTGCATAAATTTCTCCTCTTTTCTTGAGTTTCAATTGACCTCAGCACCCGTGGAGGCAGGCGCAATACACATGTAAATGAGCTGGCGTTGCTGCAAAGACACGGATTCGAGAAACAAGATAAACTGTCAGATAATATTCAGGATTTTTAACAGATCAAAAAATACTTCCTCGTTCAGCCCAGCCATAAAAATGGCACCTTCAGCTGCTGGGGAATTTGCTTTTGTTTTGCTCGTGTCTGGCTGTGGACAAAGACCAGGAGCGGCACAAGGGGCTGAGCAGAGCCAGGCTGGCAGCGCTGCTGTGGGGATGGGAGTGGGGTGGCCGTGGGGTGACGTGTGGTGGCACAGGTCTCCTGCCACAGAGAAGCCACTGGTGGAGTGGTGTGCCCCAGCAGAGCTGGGTTTGGTGGCTCTGCCTGTGGTGGTACCAATGGTGGTGCTGCCATCCCGTTTCCTGCCCTGGTGGGACCATCTCGGTGGGATGCTGAGTTCAGACCCCTCGGACCCCTGACCCCTCCTGGGCAGTCCCGAGCACCAGCCCAGCAGTGGGGACACATGCTGGGATGCAGGGCTGGGCCAGGGGCTGCCCTGCCCTCCTCACCCTGTGCTGCCACACACAGGAGAACTACAGGTTCCAAATATATTTAAGCTAACACTCCACACGAACAATCAGGGCTAATTTTAAAAAACTGTAATTAAAAATAAAGGGCCTCTTGGTAGAGAAGTCGGGGTAAACTGTCAGCAGTCACTTTGGATGTGGAGCCCTTACCTTTAAAAGAATCATTTTTGTGCTAATGTGAGCAATCCAGCACTCCCACACTCGCCTTCGGGGGCCTGTGGGGAAAGAAACTCGTGGGTTTCTTTTGATACCTTTACGTGCTAATCTTCTTAACAGATTTTTAATTAATGGGAACAGAGCACTTTGCAGCCGTGAAATCTATTGGTGTAATTGCCTGGTGGATTAGTCCCATTAACCACACAAATTACCTGTCTCCAGGCCGCCAGCCCCGCCGGGGAGCTCCCTGTGCTGGACACACTGAGCAGCCCCATTCTGAAGCAATTTTGATAAAATAAACTCTCTAATCAGGTAAATAATTCCATAAGGGAAATTGCTGCCTTCCCGCAGCCCCCCTCCAGCGGGACCTGGCTACTTTCAGGGGAATGCAACACGCCTCCAATTACAGGCAAATCTCCAGCTCCGAGACCATTTGGGAGAAGCCCACGGCACGCGGGACCCCTGGAACCACAGCGGCTGAGGAATTAAGGCATTTAAGCTGTCAGCTGGAATCTGGCCCAGCCCCTGATTACCTGGGGGGACACGCAGCATATTTAGGTTCGTGTCCGTTGTAATTTCCTGACCCCCAGCGTTGATCCCGAATGACTCGTGTCCGTGTCAGGTTCCTGCCCGCAGTCCCTCCGACACGTGTCCCCGGGCTCGGGGACACCGACCTTTGGGCAGCGAAGGACATCCAGGCCAGCCTGAGCCCGGAGAAGTGGGAATGTGCAGCTGTGCCCAAGAGCCACGGGGTGTGCAGAGCCACCTGTGCCCGTTTCACCTCCGTGCCTGGCGAGGCTGCGTGGCTGTGCTGGCTGCCATCACCATGGGATCACCAGCCAGCCACCCCAAGTGGTCACCAGCACTTGGGATGGACACCTGGACCCTTCCCAGCCCTGTCCATGGGTTTCCACGTCCCATTGTGATTTTGAACCTGAATCTGACAAAACTCCCACAGCTGTCCTTTGCTCAGGGCCTGAGGCGGGGATGAGCTGCCCCAGGGATACCGTGGGACCCACACACAGCAGGCACAGGAAGGTGTGGGGCACCCTCGTGCTGTCACACAGCCATGCATAGCCCCACTCACCTCCCCCTGCTTGGTGAAGGGCGGCCCAGTGCTCAGGGCTCTGCCAGCCCCTGGGCCAGGATGGCTCCAAACCTGCTGTACCAGCTGGGGCATCCCTCCACCCTCTGCCCCGTGCCAGGGAGCAGCGAGGAGGGTCCCTGTTGTGAGCCTGAGAGGGAGCAGCAGCAGTGACACGCCGGTGGGGACGGTGGCCTTCAACCATGCCCTGAAGCGCTGGGGTGACCAGCCCCAGTGCCCGGCCCTGTCCGGGATGGAGGAGCCCAAAGCACGGGGGCACAGGGCTGCTCTTCCCCTGCGGCACAAAGCCGGGACTCGCCCCTCGGTTGCCCCCATCGCTCCTGGCACCGGGAGCGGAGCGGGATCCGTGGGGCCGCCCGAACGGGAGGGTCGGGGCAGAGCCGGGCGGAGGGTCGGGCCGCAGGAGCCGCCGCGCTGCGCGGGGCTGCCCGGGAACCCTACACCGCGGGTAATTGGCATCAGATGCTCCCTGACCTGCCGCATCCACCGGGAAGCTGGAAGCATTTATTTGTCTGCGCCGGCGGCTCTATCTGCGTGCGGGAGGCGTTGGCGGTGGCGGGGCTGGGCTCCGCAGCCTAATGAGCCCGAGCTGAAGATGATGAATATGATTGCTGAAAGCGCTTTCCTGAGTCCTCCTTTCCTGGGGCTCAGGTTACGAGTTCCCAGACAGCCTGTCCAGCTCCGGCTTTTCAATTCTGATTTGTAGCCCCCCAAACCGTCTGTCAGCTCCCCATGCTGGAGGAAATGCTGGGTCCTTCTCTGCTGTGCCCGGCGGAGCTGGGGAAGGGGCCGCCAGCCCTGCTCAGCCATCGGGGAGGGTTTGGCCCCCCGGGCTGCCCCACTTGGCCTTGTGCCCACAGAGCCTCCCTGAGCCAGAGGGAACTGGCCCTGAGCACTGTCCCTTGAGGGGACTCCAGCCGCCAGCATCTGCTATGCCCTTGTTTCTGCGGCTACTGGGGACCTTCCCCATCGGGACTTGCCACCGGTGACCTCTTAACCTCACAGCAGAAAAATGTGAGTTTCAGCATCCGTGTTCTCTGCCCATCCCCTGCAGCCCATGGTCAATGTTCCCCCACTGAATCACATCCCACAGAGAAGCTGCTCAGGAATGGACAAGGATGGGTCAGCCCAGGGATGCTCCATGGCCATGCAGATGCCCTGGGATCAGAGGGACACAGTCCTGGCAGGCCTGGGGTGGGGTTGTGGGGTGCCATTGCCTGGCTGCCCCACAGCTCTGCTCCCTGTGTGGGGCTCAGAGTGGATGTTCTCCCTGATCTGCTCCTTTGCCCCTTGTCTCACAGCTGTCGGGCCACAGCA